GGGCACAGACCCTGCAAAGCTCCCCCCACCCGGCCCCACTGGCCCCCTGCCTCACCGGCAGTTGCCCCGGCTCACCCCACCCAACCCATCTGTCCTCTCCCTGCACCAGCCCTGAACTTACCCCCCACCCCAGCTGGACTGGGGCCAGGGACAGCCAGATGCTGCTCCTCCCATCAGATGCCAGCAGCAACCAGAGCAGGGCCCATGCTCTCCCCGTGGACCCAGCATAGCAACCAGGCGAGGCATCTCTGCTCTTGACTTTTTATTGATTGGGGGGGGGGCAGGCGACAGAGCGGGAGCACAATAACTTATATAAATAAAATCAGAACCGGGAGGAATCGGATGCCCCAAGCGGGGAGGGGACTGGGGGGGTCTGTACACTTTAGATAGCACCAGAGAGCGCCAAGCCCGTGGGATGCAGCCGGAGCCAGGCGCAGGCCCTGCAGCAGCAGCAGGGGAGGGGGCTTTTGTGAGCCCCCGGGGACCCGCGCAGGAAGGAGCTTGGAGCTGCCGTGCCGACAGCACCCTGGAGCCAGGGCCCCGATCTGCTCCTGCCTCCAGCTGGGAGGCAGCCCAGAGTCCCCTCAGCCGGGTGCAATGCAGGGCTCATGCCACACAGCTGAGCGCCCCAGCTCCAGAGGCCTGCGCGGCAGCACTGCTGTGGTCCCAGCCTGCCTGCACGGCCCCCGCTGCGGGGAAGCAAGGGGGAAGCCAAGCCAGCTTGTTGCCCTGTCCCTGGGCCCGTGGCTTCACCACCCTGCGGCTGCCCCTGGCTGGAGGGGGTGGGCACGGCCTGGCTTCGCAGCGGTGGGGGTGGAAGACATCCTGTGTCAGGCGCTGGGGCCCGTGCAGGATTTGGTCTGGAAGGGGGCAGGGCAGAGCAGAGAGCCCCAATCCTGCCTGGTCCCATGGGGCGCAGCATCCAGGGGCCCTCAGTCCGGCCCTGGACCTAGCCCTGGCTCCCGCAGGACGAGAGGCTGTCGTAGAGCGAGTCGCTGAGCGACTCCGAGTTCTCCAGCCCGGCTGGGCCCTGCCCCGTGTCCCGGGATCCGGCCTCCGTGCTGCCTTCCTCGCCCACGTCCGAGGCACTGGGCGTCCGGCTGCTGCTGGCACTGAGTGCCAGGGAGGGCGGGGGTAGGGGTGGGGGCCCCTCCGAGGCTGCCCGCTTCCTTGCCGTTGTGCTGCGTGCAGAGCCCTGCGGGGAGAGATGTGCCGTGAGCCCCCAGCTGCCGCCATGCGGGTAGCCCCAAGTCCCACACAGTAACGAGTCTCGCACTTTAATGACCCGCGGTGCCAAAAGCAACATCCTTGTGCTCTTACCCCCGCTGGCCCGCGCAGTCCAGCCAGGTCCCCGGGGGTGCACAGGAAGGGGTCGGCTGCGGGGCCCCCGCTGGCCCGGATGTTGGGGAAGGTCCAGTTCCTGCCTTGCTGGGCTCGGCGCGGCTTCCCCAGTTCAGAGTGGGGCTCTGTGGCTGGAGGGAGACCGTGGTTAGAGGCTGGGACGGCAGGGAGAGGGATGGGGGTCACACCCCTTGCAGGGAGCAGACAGGCACCGAGCACGCCCCAGGCACCCACCTTCATGGCAGACCCGGTGGCCGCGCAGGCTGGGAGGTGGTGCGGTGCTGGGGGGGACCCCGGGGGGCCCCGGCACGTCCTCCAGGCTGGGCACCTCCCTCTCCAGCGTCCGGGCCTTGCGGGGCACCTTGGTGCTGGCCGGGGGCCGCCCCGGGGCCGTGCCCGGCGGTGTGTCTGACCGTGACTTGGGCTTGGGGGGCGGTTTGCTGGGCACCCCGCTGCAGTAGTCAGGTGGGGGGAAGGTGCCAATGCCACTGTCCAGTGTCCGCGTCAGGGAGCCACATGCTGGGGGGACAGGGACGGGGGAGTTAAATACACAGCCCCCTACTCCCGGATCCATCAGCGCCCCCCAGGACCAGCCTCTCCCTTGCACTGGGGAAGACCCCTCCCAGGGTGGGGACAAACCCAAGAGTCCCAACATCCCCAGGGCCACGAGACCCATCACTGGGGGAGAACCCAAACCTGGTCCCCAAATCTCCCCACTCCTTCCCTGTGCGCTCAATCGGGCCGAACCATCCCAGGGCCCCTGTGCCAAGATGCCCCCGGGGTCACCTGGGAAGTGCTGGGCGGTCACAGCCTCGGCTAGGCTGTCATCTGGCGGGAGACCCTCCCTGAGGCTCAAATCTGGGACCTGCAGCCAGAGGAGATGGGGGGGCGGTGAGTGGGCACCAGGGGCCATGTGCCACCCCACCCGCAGTAGGGGCACTGCCCACCTTCTCGGGGGGCTCCTCGCAGCTGCGGAGGTGGCCGACGATGCCATTGCGGGGGGGCCGGAAGAGACGGGGGTCTTTGGCGTCATGTGGGATCCTCTGCAGCTCCAGCAGCTCATTCTTCTGCTCTAGCCGGCTGTCGAGAGACGTCTCCTTCCCGTCCACCCTGCGGGCAGCAGGTGGAGTGAGCCCCCAGCTAGGGACATGGGGCTCCTGGCCCCTTACCCCGAGACCCTGTGTGCTGCTCAGGCCAGAGTGGGGATCATGGCAGCCCCTAGCGGGGAGCAGCCGGGGGCACAGAGGCCATTGCAGCCCAAGAGAGAACCCAGGAGCCTGGGCACCCGGGCCTGCAGCACATTCATACACACGCTGCTCCTGCACCAAACACCAGGGACCAGCCCCATCCAACCCCAGCCCCAGCCCCACTACCTGTCGAGCAGCTGCTGCATGAAGTCCTGGGCTGTGACCTCGCGGTACAGGGCCTGCAGCTCGCTGGGTGTGGGCTCGCGGCGCCCATGGGGCCGCGCGCGGTCGCGAGCCAGCCCATGGAGGTAAGCCTTCTCTTGCTCCAGTGCCTTGCGCAAGTCCTCCGCCTTTTCCATCAGCTTGGAGATGTTGAGGCTCTCGGCCTCCAGCTTGCGGGCAGCCAGCCGGACCTCACGGCGCAGCGGTGTGGCACCCGGCCCCCGCTCCCGCCGCTCCTCCTTGGCCTTGCCAGGCTCTGGCCGCCGGCTCAGCGCTGGCAGCTTGCTCTTGCGTAGCCCAAACCAACTGGCCAGGCCACGGGAGTCCTTCTGTTTCACCTCGGGCACCGGCCCCCGATCCTGCCCCTGCAGTCGCAGCACATTCTCCTCAATGCCCTTCATCACCTTCTCCTCGATGGCCGAGGGTGGCCCCGGCCCACCAGGACCCTCAGGGGCTCTGCGCTCGGGGCCCGTTGGAACCTCCTCTGTGGGTGGGCGTGGCACCGCGGTCTTGCCTGCCCCGGCTTTGGTGGGCGACTTTGATGGCAGCTTGGTGGGCTTCCCATGGGGGCTCTTGGTGCTCTTTCCTGGGGGTGCCGGGGGTGCCCGGGGTGGGTTCCTGGCACCAGGCGGGGGCCCTGCCGGACACCCCGTAGCCAGCGGGCGTGTCTTGGTGATGTGGTGCTTGCCAGAGCAGGCCTCAGCCTCCAGCCGTGAGCCCACGGAGCCGGAGAGGTAGCAGCGCGCTGGGAGCTCTGCGCTGGGGCCGTGCTCCTGGTGCTTGAGGCTGCCGCCCACCCGTGCTGACACCCGGGGCTCAGCTGCGTCCTCGCTA